GGAATGCTTGCCCTGGGCCTGAGGCACGGCCAGCCACAGCTCTATCAGCTGCAGAGTCTTAAAAGTACATCCTGAGATTCCAGCTTTGGGAATTGTACTCAGCCCTTAGAATGTGATAGTTTTATCTGCTCTTACTATTCTGTGCCCTCACATATGTTACCCAGAACACTTGACCTACTCATCATTTTTCTCCGCTCTTTTCAGATGTTGTTTTTCAACATCCCATTAATGGCGTATCTGTGCTGGTGCCTGTCGCTGCGATGCCAGGGTCACAGCTTCTGTTCTCACATTCGTCACGTCCGATACCTCACGGCTGTGCTTGTCCACCTGACAATGGCACTCCTCCTGGCCTGGCAGGTCTACTCCTGCTATTTCCTGCAGCGAACCTATGGGACTCTGGCTTTCTTCCTCTCCCCAATGAGAACATGGCTGGTGGTGCTGACCTCAGTTCTGATTTATAAAACCTGGACGCTGAAATCATCTAAGCTCAGAACTTACATAGTAGAAATGAAAAACTGTCAGAGCTCCTGAAGTACAATGTAAGTATTCAAATTTCTTTGACTTAAAAATTGTCAAGGCACAACCTACAGTTTTGTGATGCTGGAATTCCATACAGCCTAGCCATTATGTGGTAAGATCTGAAGCTGCATCTGCATTGCTACAGAGCTGTATTAAATAGTAGATGTATAACAATGTATTATATACTTTTATTGTATTATACAATATACTGTATAATGTTATATAATACAGTTAAACATTAATACAGTATGCAGTAAACTGCATAATCTCTATAATTAGGGGTTTTTGTGATACAGAAGATAGATACGTCTATGGGCCACAGGTGGATACGCTTGCTCATTACTACTGTGAATGGAATAATATTCTGAATTTGTTAAATTCTTGATTTTCATGGTGCTGGGAAAAGCGAGCATTGGTTTGATAACTTCAGGATTTGTGCTTAACTTTCCTCTTTATTTCAAGATTTACATATATTTTTACAAGCCTAACTACAAGACTAGACCAGATGTCTTTATGAAGTAATGGTTATTGCAAAGGTGCTGTGATGGCCCTCACAGAGTTCTATGCTTACACACTTGTTCAGTTTCTTATGCTGTAGATGAGCAGTTTATAGGCTGTTAGGTGTGTATATGTGTATTTGTGTTTATGTTTAACTGAGCCGTGCCTATTGGTCTTGTCCTGGGAGTACTGGCTAATTAACATGCTCTGTCTCTGGGAGGAAGTAGTTTTCCACTGCTGAGGTTGCCAATTTTCCCATCCTTGACTAGTGAAAGGAGAGTGAATGATCAATGTTGCTGGCATTCCCAGCTGTAGTCAAGAGTTTAGCTTTAATGCATGGAATGGAGACAACATCTTCTGGATGGGAGAGCCAGTAGGAATTGTGTAGTCTGATGCCTACAATGTCTGTAAGCGGGCTGTATTTCTGAGTCTCAGCCAAATGCACCAGAGTGACCTAGGAAAACTCATTTCTTTGTTTTCAGTTTTTTCTAAGTCTAAAAAGGATAGAACAGTTACATTTATGAAAAATGCAATGATCTAGAGTCAAGAGAGCTGAGGTGCCTTTATCTGTAAAGTAAGGAGAACACTGGCCTGCTTCACAAGACTGTAAGCGGAACATTTAAAATACTTCAGGTAATTTTACAGTAACTTATTTCTGGCTCCTCAAGAAAAAGGAGGGGTAACTTCCTTATGGCACCTTAGAAAAAAACAGCAGTAGAACATCCAGGAAAATGAATTGGAAGAAAATATTAATTACAACAATACACAATGACTTGTGTTATTTCTAAAAGGTGACAGTTTAATTGGAAGAAAATATTAATTACAACCAAGACTTGTGTTATTTCTAAAAGGTGACAGTTTTCCTATTCCTTAATTCCTGTTCCTCAATTATTTATTATATAATAGGAAAAAGAATATAGCTCTCACTTGCATAAATTAAATACTGTTAAGAGAATATAGAATGTCATTTGTTGCTACATAAATTTGTTTTGCAAAGCTGTTAGAAAATCAAAGAGGCAGGGCAGAAAAAACACTACTGAAATACCTTCTTAGAAGTTTTTAAATTCTTTGTATCTCAGCAGGCTGAAAGTTTTTAGAAGTACAGACTAGAAGATAGCCTCTAATTTAGCTGTCCTTATCATATAGGCAAGTGGTTTCCCATGTTAACAACGAGTAAGAAAAATCACAATACACTGTTTTCCCTTAAAATTCAAACAAAATAAATTGGTTTCATAAAATGCAGCCCATCTCCCAGAACACATGACCAGTCACCTACATGAACCAGTGGTATCTGGACAAACTGGACAACTATGCATGCAGATATTATAAATCTGCAAGCCACCCTATTGAGAAAACTGCATTTGCTCCTCTGTTGGCCTGTTGTGCCCAGAAGGCACAGATCACCATAGTGGACTGAAGCGAGACATTCTAGTGATAACAGGTCCTGTGTCCTGATGAATTGCCTGGGTTTGGTCCTCTTTCAAAATTAAGCTCTTGTGCTCACTGAAGGGCAGCGTTCCTACTGAGAAGATAATACAATATTGTGCTTTAATGTATTTTCGTATTTACATCAGTCAGTACTAGTGTAAGATCTCATAGCTTTACATGTTTCATGACTTGTTTTTCCAATTTATGGATGAAAAGATTATTAACCCTTTTACTTGAACAGAAGCAAATGTCTTTGGCATTCGTTACTTCTGGCATGTAGTTATCTTTCTTTTAAAACAGTACTGCTTGGCTGTTTCGGGGTAAGCATGAGAATGCAGAGGTCTTCTGAAGTCAAGAGTATCCTTTCCAAGCTGTTCATTAGGAGGACAATGCAGAGCTACATGACGTGAGCAAAGCAAGTGGCAGATCGTGGAACCAGACTGCTGAAGCACTTTACATACTGCTGGTGGACATTAGTATGATCTGTGACAAATCAATCTTTCATAGTATAAATTCTTCTATTACAATATTCTGCTGAGTTTGTTGTTTTGGTTTGGGTTTTCTTTATCTGCATGGAGGAGCTTCTTTAAAATACTTAATTCCCATTTGAAACTACTCTAAAAGGACACTTGAAATTATTTGGAAAGGAAAAAAATTCTGATAATATCCATCAACTATATTTTGTTTTTTTTTCAAGTCTCTTAGAAAAAGCACGTGTAGCTGCTGTTTGCTTATGAAGGAATTCATGTGTTCATTGGTGAATTACATCCAAGATGCTGTGAAATGCATAACATAAACTAGGAAAAAGAAGATTATTTTACATGTATTACCCTCAGTGCTCCAAGGGCTGAGAAAAACTGAGGGAAGTTCCCAGGGGAATGCCATTGCCATGCATAATTTCCAATAGCTGTCATCAGTGAAGGTCTCTCCAGTCCAGCGATCCCAAGAAAGAGATCTGGGTATTCAGTGGAATGTGCAAGTGGAAAATGCAAGAATGGGGGGGAGAGAGGCTTTTTCTATGTGCTTGTGTCACTATCTCTATAGCATACTAAAAAATACAAAAAACCCCACCCCAAACCAGTCCCAAGAGACAAGACAGCTCCCTGAAGGGCACTGATGGCTCACTCAGGCTGCCTGGCCTGAGGACACGGAACAGGCTGTTCCAGTATGAAATGTTCGTGGCTGCTCTTGCAATGCCCGTAGAGATGCAGCTATTAGTCTTAGGGAGCAGGACATAAACACAGCTCCATCGCAGCAGGAAAGGCACCAGCAGGACAGCATCCTTGCCCCCAGAATGAGGAGAAAGTCCAACTGTGCTGGCTCCTGTCCCGACTACCCCATTAGTGCTTGATCCTTGGCCCTTTACTTTCCCTTCCCCCATTCCCCAGCTTGGGGGGCAAAGGAAAACAAGTAGGGGCTGATGGGGGGTGGAAGGCTCCTCTGTGCAGAGGAATAAGGACTGAGGGAAGGTCTTGGAGACATGGAGAAGCATGTTCCAAGACGAGGGTGGAGCAGAGGAGAGTAGACCTGTAGCCCCATAAAACCTTACTGCCTTCTCTCAGCACTTGCACTCAGTCTCCTATAAAAATAAATTGCACTTCCCTATTCTTGAATAAACACTGCTTTGCTACTTCATACTTTCTGTTTTCTTTCAGTACTGCTGACCTGTTCACCCTCCCTCTTATCACCACCACACCCAAAGCAGAATGATGTAGCAAAAGTGAATTTTGCTAACCAAGGTATTTTTCTGGTTGCAAAATTCTGTGTTCCTGTGGCCAAAAAGTCTTGCCTCATTTCTACTTCTGTGCTTTTCCTAAAGAGTTCCCATTTGTGTCTCACAACATCTTTACTTGGTTTGGAGCTTATTCTAGCTCCTGTTACCCTTATTGCAGGATAATGCCATCTGCCTGTGATCTTTTATCCCATGGCAGTCTATTTATAGCTTGTATAAACATTTCCCACTGGAAAGAGACTCCAGTAAAGAGAAAGGCAGTGTAGTAATAGAAGAGAGCAATATTACAAACATCACGACTAAGTAATCCTGCATCTGCTTCTTTCATGATCAATGCATTAAACACAGAATAAAGAGTTGAAGCTATTTGAAAGGCATCTGCCTTTGCTCTCTCCACTATTGTAACAACAGCTACCGTAAACTGCACTAAGACATGTTTATGTCAGGGCTGTCAGGCTCTTTTCATGGTATTGCTGACATTTTCTGTGAAATCCTGACATGAAACTACACAGCCTAGCACTAAACAACTAATAGGTGCTCCTATGAAAAAAAAGCAAACAAACAAACAAAAAACACCATGTTTTTCTCATTAGGAAGGAAGAAGACAACAAGGAGGACAAGAAGCATCCTGAACTAAAAAAAAAAGGGGGAAAAAATGGAGGCTAAGAAACCAGAAGGGAAAAAAATTAAATATAGGACAGCCAACAGCAACTGTTCAAGGTGCAAAGGGAGAAGGGATGGAAATAAGAATGCATAAAACTTCACCAAATCCAAACAAGCAGAAGATTGTCTCAAAGAAAAATAAGGGAAAAAAAGGTCTCTTTGCCCAGTACTGTTTAAGTTTTGTTACACATTGCAACAAGAAATGCGTATTTACAAAGACTGTATCACTAAACTTCTAGTACCTTACTGTGGTCCACAACCCCTACTCTGAAGACACGCTCGCCCTTGCTTAAATCTTATAACCTATCACTCACCATCTTTGTAAGGTAACGCTTCATGGGATGAATGCTGCTGCTTCTGCAGCCAGTGACCATCTACTACAGCCAAAGTGTCTTGGATTTTTGTCACCCTTTGTTAAATGAGACCTCTCCTACAGTGCAAAATATATGATTGCTTCAGAGTCACACTATTACAATAATTAAGAAATTAAGACAAGGCAAAAAAATATGTACTATTCATATTTTTTACAACCATTTTCTCCATTTGATTTTTATTTATTCTTAAGAGGTAACATGAGCCAGGATTCACAGGTAGAGAAATGCTGCTGTGAGAATCCTAAACATTGGGAGTACCAGGATGAGGTTTAGTTTGACTGTCCCCATCTTTTTTTTTTTCTTTTTTCCCCTAAAGCAATTAGACTAATGCTGATAGACCGTATATTGCCTTCTATAGCTTACTGAACTACAGCAATGGTGCTGCAATCAAGCTGCCTGTATTACAGTAAAGAATCAGTATCTCAGCATGATCTCACTCTGGATCACTCCTCACATCATCAGCTCTTATCAGACTTATGACTTCCATGGGTTACTAAGCAATTGCTGTAAAAATAATAGTGCTGGGAATTTTACAATTTTATCATATTTTGTTTTGGTTGTGAAAAATAACTTCCTAGAGGACTCCTATTTCTGGAAGGTGTGTTAACTCTGTGCCAGAGATGAGCTCACTCTAGAGTAGCTCTTCAGCAAGCACTGTTCAAAAGTACAACATTTGTACTTTGGACAAGCAAATGTAACTCTGGAAAAATAAATATATCAGACTTAGGCCTTCACCCGTAACATATGAAAGGAAAGCAACGCAACATTTGAACACCTTTTCAGTAGTGGTTACTGTTATGATTCCTTTCTTACATTAATACAACACAAACTGACCACAGTCCATGGTTAAGTCTCTTTTTAAATATATAGGTATTTAATTAGCTTGCTTTGGATACTACCCTATGATATATTTCCTTCCAGGCAAGCTGTAATTAAAACAGAAGAATGTCCTCAGTTTTAACAATAAAAGGCATTTTTCTCAAAACAGGCTGTTGAAACTGGAAAAAAATTCATAGATTGGAAGAAGCCAAATATGGGGAAATGGATCTTATAAGACACTGAAACTTGTGTGTGGGAAGAGGTTAGTCTTCAAACGTGGAAGAAAATAGGAAAACACCTTGGTGACCCCGTGCCTCCAAAAGTGCCATATATATGTATGTCCAATTAGACACACATACAAAAAAAACCAAATTCAATGGATAACTTTCTGTTCCTAATTAAAACTGGTACTATTTCAACTCAGCAG